CCAGGATAGAGCCAGGACCCAGCTCAACTCCATCCAATTCCACCCTGGCCTCTCCACCCTAGGGGCCCAGGGTCCTGCTGCGTCTGCACAATTGCTAAGATGGGGATACCAGGGCTCCAGTCAGAAAGAACCCCCAGGACACAAACTGACGCTGTCAGCAGTTTTCTGACTCATCCCAAAGGAAGTCCTGCTCGGTTCTCATCTCCAAGAACAAGAACCTTGGCCCCGATCTCTTCCCAAAAAGCTTCTTCAAAGTTAACATGGATGGAGCACCTACTACAAGTCAGCCATTATACTAAGCCCTTGGCGTGTATTATCTCAGTTTCCTCACAATAAAATTGAACAATAAGAAACCAAGGCAGAGAGTAATTAAGTAACTTGTCCAAGGTCAATAACCTGCCCCTTCCTTGCAGTTTCATCTCTTCTCAACCTGAGGCCGTTCACCGCCAGCAAATGACATGGAGGAAAAGTTCCTCATGGATTATTGAGAAGAAAATCCTCGATCCCAACCCTAGGATACTGCCTGGAGGAGGTGTGCCTTCCAGGAGGAACCTAGCCACGGTGGGGGCTTAAGGTGACATTCCTGGGGCACCCACACAAGTCACCTTGATAAATTTTCCTCATCCTCAAATCTATTTAGGACTTCAGTCAGCAGGTGTAGGAGTTCCTCGCTGTTCAATATGTTCCAGAGGCACTCAATGACAGTCTCAAAAAACCACTCCTTATCTAGATGGAAAGAAAAAAGAATAAAATTAGCCAAAATTGCAGTGCAACACGATTTGTCTTCAGCACAAAGTGGTCACAGTTCATCTTCCTGAGCACTGTTCCCCTGGGTACTGTTGATGGAGTCACCCGGTGCTTTGGGCAGGACTGGGCCCTCCGCAATTTCATATGTGCAAACCCTGACCCCGCACGTGACTGAATTTAAAATTAGGACATTTCAGGAAATAATTATGGTTAAATGAGGTCTTAAGTGTGGGGCCCTAAGCCAGTAAGGCGGTGTCCTTATTAGAAGAGGAAGTGGTGCCAGTCCAGCTCTCTCTCCACACTGAGAAAGGGCTGTGTGAGAACAAGACCAGAAGGCAGCAGGCACTGACACCCAGGACAAGAGGTCTCACCAGGACCCAACCCTACCTGCTCTTGCTAGTGAGCGCAGTAGTGTATACAGAAGTAGAAATATAAGGATCTGCGCCCGAAACTTACTTAAACCGATGTTACTTTAATTTTTAAAAGTCTCAGAATCCACAGCTTTGAGTAAAAGTACCAGGTGAGAGACTCCTCCCGCGAGTCACAGATGCCAGACCAGGCGGGGAGGGGCTTCCTCAGGGGCATGAGGGGCGGGACCTCAGTTCTGAGCCTGTGGTCCATCCCTGTCACCTCTCTCTCCCCCAGGCTGCTCCCAGGGGCACAGCTCCCACTGGCTCCACTGAGCCCAGCTGGCCCGTTTATACA